TGGAGACTGCAGGTCATGTATTAGTGTGTTAAGGGACAACATGAGAAAGCAAAAAAGCAGAAGTAGTCAGAGTGAGAAACGGAGCTGAGAAGCAGTCCCAACAAATGTCTTCAGCAGCCATGTGCAGAGCTCTGGACCTGGGATGGTCCTTGAGAGTTGTCCCAAGTTACAGAGATGGCTGGGGCCTTTACACCACTACACTGATCAATCATTGGAGGGGGGAGTTATGCCTTTAAAGGCATGTCCAGGAAAATAGCAGTATGAGGAGCTCCATGGACTTGCTCCCCAGTGAAACAACTACAGTTGGCAAGAATTAAAAAAAATATATCCCACTTAAAGTTTCTTGAAATTGGCTGAAGAGAATACAGCAGATGAAGAAAATTTTATTCAAGAAAGTATATTAAATCTTGGTAAGAATAACAAGACTTAGTGACACCACCTGCGCCATGACTTGCTGCCTCCCCTACCCTGCTCAGTATGACGAAAGCTCAACTCCAGGTGGGTGTGGCCAAGAAAAGGTTCCCTCTACCCCTCTGTCCCAGCAAAAGGCTATGGTACCTCTCTGGGAGGGCCAGGCTGCCAGCACTTCTTATCCTCTTTAACTTCATGTTGCAAAGGCTAAATTCCAGGTAAGTACAGCCTGAAGATTGGAGACATTGGGAACTCCTTTCTTCCTTTCAGACACTATTCATAGGACAGGCTCTATTCCAGGTGCAGCAGACCAAGAGTGCTCAGATCCCAGTGGCTTTCATCCCCACTCTCATGTAAGCTGGGAGTTCCATGCCAGCAGAGGCAGCCTGAGAAGGAAGAGACTATAGCCCCCCCCACACCCCCGCCATGGCCCTGCTCCTAAAGCAGAGGTATCATTCTGAGAGAAGTGGGCCCCTGTCCCCATCCCCAGCTCCACAGCAGTCGCTCAGAGATTTCTCCCAGGGGGAGAGAAAGTCCATTAGAACAGAGAACTCTGACACTCTCCCCACAGGAATGGACTTTATTTGTAAGAGTGTGAGAAGATTCAAACCCAAAGGTGCTCTTGAAAACAACGGATATTCTCATGATAAGTTATTAAGAGGAGGGTGGTAGCTCCATGGCAGCAAGAAGTTAAACTGCAGACCAATGAGTTTGGCAGGGCGGTGGGGGGTGGGGTGGGGAGAGTGGTGGGGGGAAGCCAAGGAAAGAGACAACTAGGAGAAGCCCTCTTGGGATCTGAACAAGCCTCAAAGCCTATCTATGCAAAGGAGCTGAAATGTAATTGGATTAGACTGTGTCCCCAGGATACTGTCAAGAGCAAAGGAGCAATCAATAGGCAGTTACTGGAGCCCAATGGCTGGGTGTAATAACAACAGAGTCAGGCTCTTTAATGGAGAGATCTGGAAAAGAGACAGCCAAAGAAAGCCTTGCTAAAACCACTCTCATCCTAGGTAACTGTGTGCAAAGTTACCTAGGATGTACCCTCTGAGTAGCTACTTAAAGAGTCTTCACTTCTTGGGTGAAATGGACCTCACTAAAATAGTCTAGTCAGGTCACTAAACAAATAAACAAGGAAACAAAAAAAACCAACCAGCCCCATGGGAAAGGGGGAGCAATCAGTATTCAGAATCGCTACAATAAATTATATGTACTAGTAGTAAATATTTTCATATCTTAACAGGTACAAAGCCATACAATTGTGTATTGGCTTCAATTAGGCCCGCACATTTGATATGGCACAGAAGTGACTTTTTAATTTTTTATTCTTTAAAGATTTATTTATTTATTTGACAGACAGAGATCACAAATAGGCAGAGAGGCAGGCAGAGAGAGGGGGAGGGGAGCAGGCTCCCTGCTCAGCAGAGAGCCAGATGCAGGGCTCCATCCCAGGACCCTGGGATCATGATCTGAGCGGAAGACAGAGGCTTAACCCAGAGCCATTCAGGTGCCCCTGGAAGTGACTTTTTAGATCATTAGGGAAAGGATGGACTATTCAATCGGAGGTGCTAGAAAATTACACATTTGTAAAATACATATACATACATATATATGGTTATATGCAAAAAAGTGAAATTGGATCCTTACCTCATACCACACATAGAAATAATTTTTAGATAGATACAGTGAATCCAAAATGAAAGGCAATACTTTTAGACTTTTGGAATAAACTTGTAGCAGCAATGTTGGCAGTTCAACAAAGATTATGCACCTCTTCCATAGATTGGAGTTGTCGTGGAGAAGAGGTTGCCCGGTTAGGGATGTTTCCCAGGTCTCTCTGCCTCGGGGGAGAACTATGTGACTTTTGGATAATAGGATATGGACTGAATTAGCACACCAGTGCTTCTTAAACTGTCTGTGGTAATGGACAATTTGTCTCCAATTTATTATGGATCAATACTTCTGTAAATGAAAACAAATATATTACCAGAAAATTGATATTTTAAAAAGTCAGACCAAATGCAAGCCCATTTTTTATTATTAGATTTAACAGACATAAAATTACATTGCCAGGTTGCTGTTAAAAGTTTACAAGTATTCTTAATTTTTGTACTACTGAGTAATGGGAAGGCAATAAATAGTTCGTGGACCAGCAGAGGTTAGCAGACCACGCACTAAGTGTACACCACTTTTGATGTGGCTCATAACAATCTCTCATGCAATATTTTACATTCTTTCTTCCCCTACGTTCAGGGTGGCTTTAAAAATCAATGGCTGAATACCTCAGAGGCTTTATCAGTCTGGTTCCCTGGATGACTTCTCAGAGCAGAACACTTTCCGCCCCATCTTGCCATCAATTGAACCTAACGTGAAAAGAAAAAAATTATTTTGTGTTAAGCTACCAAGCATTTAAGTTTATTAAGTCACAGTACTGGCATTAGCTTAGCTAATAATGAAATATAGGGAACATATTTATAGACAAAAACCCTTATTGGAAAAGATTTTTAAAATTGACTACACTAGAAATAAGAGTCTCTGTACATCAAAAATCACCATAAAGTAAACAAAAATAAATCAGACTGGGGAAAGATATTTATAATACATATAATATACACCAATTTTGTATTCAGATATAAGGTGATCCTACCAATCAATACGAAAAAGGTGAACAACCCAACTGAAACATGGGTAAAATATATGAACAGGCATTTCACAGTAGAGGAAATAGGAAAAAAAAATTAGAATTTAAGAAGATGCACAACTATGTTAAGACCACAATTAGATATCAAATTTCTGATATGATATGGCTGAATTTGGAACTGCCATACACTGATAGTGAAGTGAAAATCAGTTCAACCATGCTAGAAAAACAATTTGACATTATCTTTTAAAGTTTTACACTTGCACCCATTGTCATCTAACAATTCTACTGTACGATGTACTGCTGTAAGATGTAAGTAGAATTGCCAACCTTGGCAAACAAGAATAAAGGACAACCTTTAAAATACACTTAAACTGTGTTTAAGATAAACAATGAGTAATTTTAAAATTTTATCTGAAATTCAAGTTTAATTTGGCCTCATCTACTTTATCTGGAAATCCTACAAATAAGAGGAGCCATGTACAAAAGTGTTCACAGTAGCATACTGTTTATAAATATAAAACCTAGAACCCACCTAAATTTGTATGGAGGAAATAATGGATAAACTATGTATTCACACAACAGAACATTAGGCAGCGGTAAAAATGAATACAGCTATGAATAAATCTTAGGAACATTATTTAAGGTTGAAATTAATCCAAAGGCCTTATGTTAGAAATTAAAAAAAAAAAGGTAAAGTAAAAATGTAAAAGAAGGGGAGTGGTGCCCAGCTGGCTCAGTTGGTAAAGCATGCCACTCTTGATCTCTGGGCCATGAGTTCAAGCTCCAAGTTGGGCATAGAACTTACTTAAAAAAATTGCAATACCACTTTCATAAGACTCAAAACCAACCACAACTAGACAATATATTGTTTCGAGATCCATACACATATCAGAAAGTATATACTATATATATATGTGTGTGTGTGTGTGTATACAAGAGAATGAGAAGCAAAACAAGGTAGTTGTTACTAAGGAAGTGGTAGAGCAGGGGACCAAGTTAGAGGAAGCGGTCACAGATTAATGTGACAGAGTTGGTAGTGTTCCTGTCCTACACAGGTAGAGGTACACAAATATTTGTTACATTGCTCTGCTTCTTATCTCAGATATGTTACATAAGGTTTTCTGTATACATAAAATATTACATAAAATTTAAAAGATAGATTGACAATCAGGAAACTTAAGTGAGTTGAACAGATCTACAGACACATAGTCTAATGCTTTCTATTATATTGGGATACCTCTCCTAAAGAATAAATACAGGATGCCCTGCACCCTGAAAATGGTGAAAAGTACAAAATACAGCTCCCTATCTAGCTCCAGGAAGAAGCTAGGAGATGGAGTGTACAGAGAACCAATTAAGCCAAATAATCGATAAATATAAATAAATGCTTTCAGCTAAGTACTGTGTTAGATTATTATGAATATAGGGGATGGGTGGTGGCAGGGAGATGTTCTCAAGTTTCTCAACTTGTGGTTGCAGAAGACTGCTCCGGTTACAATGAGAGACATACATTAGACACTCTATTATGTGGTTGTAGACTGTGACAGAATGAGCCCAGTCCATTTCCTAGTAAACCGTCTTTAGCTCCTGTTTCCATGAGGAGGTAGGTGAGGAGGGGGAACTGTTCTTGCCTAGCTACAGAGTTGACTTGTCACACTCGGGTCACTTTAAAGGAAAGTGACAGTAAGGGTAAAGCCAATTTACACAAGCCAGCCTAATGCAGACCTAAAATACTTCTTGGGCTCACAGGACACTTGACATACAAACCTCTTCAATGAAATTTAAAGGACTGACCTTAGCTCCCTATGCTAAGGACAGCTGAGTAGATAAAAAGGACTGGCATCCACTCATGCGCAGTAAGCAATACCACGGTTCGCAGGAGTCCGGCTGGAGGCGGAGCTAACGGGCCCGGTAATACGTCACGGAGCGCAAGTGCGTCACTTATAGAGGCGGAACGTCCGGTCCCGGTTTCCTCGGCGACAGCGGCGGGCTGGTCCGCGTGTGGTGTTTGAGCTTCGCAGACATGGGGACTCCTCCAGGCCTGCAGACTGACTGCGAGGCGCTGCTCAGCCGCTTCCAGGAGACGGACAGTGTGCGCTTCGAGGACTTCACGGAGCTCTGGAGGAGTATGAAGTTCGGGACCATCTTCTGGTGGGTGTTTCTACTCCGCTGCCCGCCTCTCTCCCAGGTCGGCGGTGGCGTAGGAAGCTGCTTTCTTCTCCAACGCCTCGCAGCTCCTGGGAAGGGCTGAGAAAGGCGGCAGTCTCAGAATGCTGCCCCCAGCTCTGCCGGGCCTTCTTCCTGGGCGCTTTCATTCCTTTCCGCTGCATCCTTTTGCGGCGTCCTCCTCAGTGTTATTTCTGCCTGGCCGTCCTTCTCAACACTCTTCTCTGCCTGGTACCGGCCTAGATCATCCATCATTCCCCTTCCTGCAGTGGTGTTCTCTTAGAACCTCGTGTTTGAAAACAAAACAAACACCTAGGCAAGGACAAACCCCTGCACGACGGAATTCATTTTTCATAGGACAACCAAAGTTGCCTTTCTAAAGTGCAAATTTGATCCCGTCACTCCCCTGCTTACCACTCCAGTGGTTTCCACTGCCCTTAGGATAAAGCTCGAATTCCCTAATTCCCAAATTCCCTAATATGCCTAGCAAGACCCTCCGTGACCGGCCTCAGTGCATCTCAGCAACTTTATCCGCCGTTTCCCTCCATGCACTCGCTTGCTCCATTCTGCCTGTGGCCCTCTTCAGGCATTTGGAAAGCCCGGAGCTTTCCCCCACTCTTTCTGCCAGGTCACCTTTGGCTTCACTCGATTTTAAGCTCAAATGACAGTTCTTTAGGGAAGCCTTCCTTTGCCCTTCTAAAGTAAGGCGTTCAGACTGTTTTTCCTAGAGAGCTCTTCTTATTTTATCTGTGGGCTTTTACCACAGGGTATTGTGAAGTGTAGTAGAGTGGTTACTGAGCCCCACTGCCTGATTTTGAATGAGTCCGCAGAGTAACCTGACTTTGGGGGAAGTTTGCCTGAGCTTCTGCATCTATACAATGGAGACAGTGATAATAATTCCCATTGTAGTTCTAAGGGTTAAATGAGCTAATATATGTTAAGTGCTTAAGGACTCTGTAACTATTCATTATTACTATTATTGCTTTAAATTTTTCCCTCAGCTGGATAGAGCTCTGGGGACAGTGACTGGATGAATTTGGTATCCATTGGCATAACATATATAATAGTGTAAAAGCTAAATAATTGGCTGACTGAATTCTTGTGATTAAAACTCTGTGTTTTCCTGAATAAGAAGTAAAAGTACTCTTTTTTGTCGTAATATAATAATTACTTGTGTAGTTTGTACATTGCATGGTTTGAGGATAGAGAGCTATTTGTTGTACAGTTAATGAAAGGAAAGGAACTAATTTTGGTTTTTTTTTGAAGATTTTATTTATTTGACAGAGATTGAGAGAGAGCACAAGCAGGGGTGCACCAGCCAGAGGGAGAGAGAGAAGCAGGCTTCCCTGCAGAGCAGGGAGCTGGATGTGGGGCTCCATCCCAGGACCTTGGCATCATGACCTGAGCTGAAGGCAGTGGCTTAACCAACTGAGCCACCCAGGCACCCCAGGATCTAATTTTTTAATGACTACTAAATGTGATGTGTTTATAACTTAATGTATTTAATCTATAGAAGAACTCTGAAAAGCAGATATATAATTGTCCTTGTTTTATAGAAGGGGAAATTGAGGCTTAAGGAGGTTAAGTAATCTCCACGATCAAACCGCTAGTAGGTGGTAGAGCAGATACTGAGAACTGTATGTCTGTCTGCATTCAAAACCTGTGGTCTTTCAGTGCATCTCTCCTGAGAAGTGGCAGTTACAGAAAATTTTGCTGGGGTTACCTCAATATTTAGCTAGTGAAGAAAAACTAAAATGAGAAAAAAAAGTGAGGACGATTTGAAAAGTGATGTTACTTCTTTAGAAATTGCTTTGGTTGCTAATATAATAGTAGGTATTTTGCATTCTTTCAGTATATTTATTATTTGAAGAGCCTAGGCTTTGGGAGTATAGTGCAGTCGCTTTCCTGCTCTGCACCCTCTTTACTTTGGTGAGCTTTACCCTGCAGAATTGGGAGGAGGGCATGGGTTGGGTTGTATTGTCGTTCTCTAACTTTTTCACCTAGGTGTCTCAAAGACAAATGAGGGGTACTGTGAATCCCTGAGAGTATTGAGGAAAATCTCCATTATATATTAAAATGCATGTAATTTTTGTATTTTATTCTGTAATATAACCATGATTATTTTAATATTTTAAATATTTAAAATTTTTACCTGGGAATAATTTGTAACCCCTCCCTTTTTGCTCGCCAATTCAGCAAATAAAGTTGATGCTTTAGAAAGAGCATTATGTTTACCTACTATATGTCTGTGCCTCAGGGTAAGAAGCACAGCGGAAAATTAGGTCATGCTTGATCATGAAAGGATCAGATGTGGAATGCCCATTCAGTTTCTAGCAGCTGCTAGAATATACATCTTCTAATTTTTGTTCATTACTTGTTTACTGAGAGTCATAATATATTTTCTCTTTGTTTCCTAGTGGTAGAATGAGAAATTTAGAAAAGAACAAGTTTACAAAAGAAGCGTTAGCTTTGGCTTGGCAATATTTTTTACCTCCATACACCTTCCAGATCAGAGTTGGTGCTTTGTATCTGCTATACGGATTATATAACACCCAACTGTGTCAACCAAAGCAAAAGGTAATACTTGTTTTCCCTCAGCAACATAGGAAATAGGTACAATATTTTTACAACAAACTGATTTTAATAGGAATGCCAGTATTTCAAAAATATAATACATTTGTGAAGAAGATTTACCTTTAGTAACAACTTTTTTACTTTTGTTTGTAGATTAGAGTTGCCCTGAAGGATTGGGATGAAGTTTTAAAATTTCAGCAAGATTTGATAAATGCACAACATTTTGATGCAGCATATATTTTTAGGAAATTACGACTAGACAAAGCATTTCACTTTACAGCTATGCCCAAATTGGTATGTTGTCTAAAATAGATCATTTTTTAAAATGAGAACTAATGCTTTATTGTTCATAAAGTACCTCAATCTCCATGAAGTAGAAAAGATACCATGTAATTTCTGATACTTGTAGAAAGGTTTCTTAAAATAGGAGAAAATGCTTTCTAACTACTTTTCTTTTGCAAACAATTTAGTCTTTGCTTTTAAATGCAGTGTTTCTAAATGCCGTCTATTAAATTGTTAGAAGAAATTAGATTTGGCATCTGCCATTTTGCTTATTTCCCTTTTCAGACATTAGGTTACAGAAAGAAGACCAAGGAATTTTAATGTCAGTTGGTGAAAAGTTGAAACTTCCACTAATAAAATTTATTTCTTCAGTCTTAATGACAGATGAGACACTAGACTGAAAGAGCATTAAGTCCTAATTCTGGTTCTGACATCAGCTCGCAAATCATGTAACTTGTCTGAATATCATCTGAAGTTAGAAGCTTATGGCATGGCATCTTAAAGGTTATTTTAAAATTCTAGTAGTCTTTGGAAAATGGATTATCTAAAAAATATCCTTTAAAAGACATTCATTATCATCTAGCTATCATATAGGATGAAGAAGAAAATTCAGCGAGCTGAAGTTACAGAAGAATTTAAGGATCCAAATGATCGTGTAATGAAACTTATCACTTCTGATGTATTAGAGGTAAATTTGTTTTTTCTGCCCTTGAAATTAAAAAAAATTGTTATTATTATACCTTCATCTATGGGATACTGAAGTTTTTTCTAATGAATTTAACTGTTGATAGAATGCTTATTTTTCCTCCAAAGTATCAGAAGTAACACACCCTAAATATATGAAAATTTATGGAATAAATCTGGAAACTCAGAAACAAAAAGATGTAGAAGACTGTACTTGAACTTGGGTATTTAGATTCAAATACTGAAACCACCATTTGTATTTGACTTTAGATGGTTCATAAAACAAGAATTTAGGGCACCTAGGTAGCTCAGTGGGTTAAAGCCTCTGCATTCAGCTCAGGTCATGATCCCAGGGCTCTGGGATCAAGCCCCACATCCGGCTCTCTGCTCAGTGGGGAGCCTGCTTCTTCCTCTCTCCTCCTGCCTCTCTGCCTATTTATGATCTCTGTCAAATAAATAAAATCTTTAAAAAAATAAAATTATGTACTCATTTCCTAAGTTCCCTTTTATATGTTTATTTAAAAACTTATTGAATAACAATGAGGCTATTCTGATAAAAATTTGAAATCAAGAATTATGGATAAGAGGCACACTCTTTTTTTTTTAAATTTTATTTTATTTTTTCAGTGTTCCAAGATTCATTTTTTATGCACCACACCCTGTGTGCGATGCAATACATGCCCTCCTTAATACCCACCACCAGGCTCACCTAACCCTGCACACCCCTCCCTCCAAAACCCTCAGTTTATTTCTCAGAGTGCACAGTCTATCATGGTTCGTCTCCCCCTCCAATTTCCCCCAATTCACTTTTCCATTCCTTCTAATGTCCTCCATGTTATTCCTTATGGCCCACAAGTAAGTGAAACCATGTGATAATTGACTCTCTCTGCTTGACTTATTTCACTCAACGTAATCTCCAGTCCCGTCCATGTTGACACAAAAGTTGGGTATTCATCCTTTCTGATGGAGGCATAATATTCCACTGTATATATGGACCATATCATCTTTATCCATTTGTTTGTTGAAGGGCATCTTGCTTCTTTCTACAGTTTAGCAATTGTGGCCATTGTTGTTATGAACATTGGGCTACAGATGGCCTATCTTTTCACTACATCTGTATCTTTGGGGTAAATACCCAGTAGTGCAATTGCAGGGTTATAGGGTATTTTTAATTTCTTAAGGAATCTCCAGACTGTTTTCCAAAGTAGCTACACCAACTTGCATTCCCACCAACAGTGTAAAAGGGTTCCCCTTTCTCCACATCCTCTCCAACACTTGTTGTTTCCTGTCTTGTTAATTTTGGCCGTTCTAACTGGTGTAAAGTGGTATCTCAATGTGGTTTTCATTTGAATTTCCCTGATGGCTAATGATGATGAACATTTTTTCATGTGTCTGTTAGCCATTTGTATGTCTTCTTTGGAGAAGTGTCTGCTCATGTCTTCTGCCCATTCTGACGTGGTAATCTATTTTTTGAGTCGAGTTTGAGGAGTTCTTTATAGATCTTGGATATCAGCCCTTTGTCTGTGGTGTCATTTGCAAATATCTTCTCCCATTCTGTGGGTTGCCCCCTTTTTTTTTTTTTTAAGATTTTTTTAATTTATTTGACAGATCACAAGTAGGCAGAGAGACAGGCAGAGAGAGAGAGGAGGAAGCAGGCTCCCCACTGAGCAGAGAGCCCGATGTGGGGCTCGATCCCAGGACCCTGGGATCATGACCTGAGCCGAAGGCAGAGGCTTTAACCCACTGAGCCACTCAGGTGCCTCAACCCCTTTGTTTTGTTGACTGTTTCCTTTGCTGTGCAGAAGCTTTTGATCTTGATGAAGTCCCAAAAGTTCATTTTTGCTTTTGTTTCCTTTGCTTTTGGAGACATGTCTTGAAAGAAGTTGCTGTGGCCAATGTTGAAGAGGTTACTGCCTATGTTCGCCTCTAGGATTTTGATAGATTCCTGCCTCATGTTGAAGTCTTTTATCTGTTTTGGCTTTATCTTTGTGTGTGGTGTAAGAAAATGGTCAAGATTCATTCTTCTAAATATAGCTGTCCAATTTTCCCATCACTGTTTGTTGAAGAGACTGTTTTTTTTTCCACTGGATATTTTTTCCTGCTTTGTTGAAGATTATTTGACCACAGAGTTGCAGGTCCATATCTGGGCTCTCTATTCTGTTCCACTGGTCTGTGTGTGTGTTTTTGTACCATACTGTCTTGGTGATCACAGCTTTGCAGTAAAGCTTGAAATCAGGCAACGTGATGCCCCTAGTTTTTTTCTTTTTCAACATTTCATTAGCAATTCGGGGTCTTCTCTGTTTCCATACAAATTTCAGGATTGTTTGTTCCAGCACTTTGAAAAATGCTGGTGGAATTTTGATCGGGATGACATTGAAAGTATAGATTGCTCTAGGCAGTATAGACATTTTAACAATGTTTATTCTTCTGTTCATGAGCATGGAATGCTTTTCCATCTCCTTGTGTCTTCAATTTCTTTCATGAGTATTCTGTAGTTCCTCGAGTACAGATCCTTTGGTTAGGTTTATTCCCAGGTATCTTATGGTTCTTGGTGCTACTGTAGATGGAATTGATTCTCTAATCTCCCTTTCTGTGTTTTCATTGTTAGTGTGTAGGAAAGCAACTGATTTCTATGCATTGATTTTGTATCCAGCCATATCACTGAATTGCTGTATGAGTTCTAGTAGTTTGAGGGTGGAGTCTTTTGGGTTTTCCATATGAAGGACCATGTCATCTGTGAAGAGAGAGAGTTTGACTTCTTCTTTGCCAATTTGAATATTTGTTATTTCTTTTTGTCTGATTGCTGTTGCTAGGACTTCTAGTACTATGTTGAACAACAGTGGCGAGAGTGGGCATCCTTGTCCTGTTCCTGATTTCCAAGGGAAAGCTGTCAGCTTTTCCCCACTGAGAATGATTTTCGCTGTGGGTTTTTCATAGATAGGTTTTATGAAGTTGAGGAATGTTCCCTCTATCCCTATACTTTGAAGAGTTTTAATCAGGAACAGATGCTGTATTTTGTTAAATGTTTTTTTGCATCAATTGAGAAGAGCATGTGGTTCTTCTCTTATTGATTTGTTCTGTCTCACTGATTGATTTCCAAATATTGAACCACCCTTGCATCCCAGAGGTAAATCCCACCTGGTCATGGTAGATAATCTTTATAATGTACTGTTGGATCCTGTTGGCTAAGATCTTGTTGAGAATCTTGGCATCCATATTCATCAGGGATATTGGTCTGAAATTCTCCTTTTTGATGGTGTCTTTGCCTGGTTTGGGGATCAGGGTAATGCTGCCTTCATAGAAAGAGTCTGGAAATTTTCCTTCTGTTTCTATTATTTTGAAACAGCTTCAGGAAAATAGGTATTATTCTTTGAATGTTTGGTAGAATTCCCCAGGGAATCAGTCAGGTGGTGGGCTCTTGTTTTTTGGGAGGGTTTTTGATCACTGCTTCAGTGTTGTTACTAGATATTCAGGTTGTCAATTTCTTCCTCTTTCAGTCTTGGAAGTTTATAGGTTTCCAGGAATGCATCCATTTCATCTAGGTTACTTAACTTATTGGCATATAACAATTGATAGTAATTTCTGATGATTGTTTCTATTTCCTTGGTGTTAGTTGTGATCTGTCCCCTTTCATTCATAATTTTATTAATTTGGGTCCTCTCTCTTTTCTTTTGGATTAGTTTAGCCAGTGGTTTATCGATCTTATTGATTCTTTCAAAGAACCAGCTTCTAGTTTTGTTGATGTGTTCTACTGTATGTCTAGTTTCTAACTCATTGATCTCTGCTCTAATCTTGATTATTTCCCTTCTTGTGCATGGGTTGGCTTAATTTGTTGTTGATTTTCCAGTTCTTTAAGGTGTAAAGAGAGCTGGTGTGTTCTGAATTTTTCAGTTTTTTTGAGTGAGGCTTGGATGGCTATGTCTTTCCCCCTTTGCTGTATCCCATAGGTTTTGGACCGATGTTTCTTGATTCTCATTGGTTTCCATGAATTGTTTAAGTTCTTTTTTGATTTCCTGATTGATCCAAACATTCTTAAGCAGGTTGGTCTTTAGCTTCCAAGTTTTATTTTATTTTATTTTATTTTATTTAACAGAGAGAGATCACAAGTAGGCAGAGAGGCAGGCAGAGAGAGAGAAAGGGAAGCAGGCTCCCTGCTGAACAGAGAGCCTGACATGGGGCTCGATCTCAGGACCCTGAGATCATGACCTGAGCCGAGGGCAGAGGCTTTAACCCACTGAGCCACCCAGGAGCCCCTAGCTTCCAAGTTTTTAATTCCTTCCAAACTTTTTCCTGTGGTTGAGTTGCAGTTTCAAAGCATTGTGGTCCGAGAATATGCAGGGAATAATCTCAATCTTTTGGTATCGGTTGAGCCCTGATTTGTGACCCGGTATGTGGTCTGTTGTGGAGAAAGTTCCATGTGCACTCGAAAATAATGAATATTCTGTTGTTTTAGGGTGGAATGTTCTGTATATATCCATGAGGTCCATCTGGTCCAATGTGTCATTCAAAGCTCTTGTTTCCTTATTGATTTTCTGCTTGGATAATCTGTCTGTTACTGAGAGTGGCGTGTTAAGATCCCCTACAATTAATGTATTCATATCAATATGGCTTTTTATTTTGATTAACAATTGGCTTATGTAGTTGGCTGCTCCCATATTGGGGGCATAAATATTTATAATTGTTAGATCTTCTTGGTGGATAGACCCTTTACGAATGATGTAGTGTCCTTCTGACTACAGTCTTTAGTTTAAAATATGACTTATCTGATATGAGAATCACTATCCCAGCTTTCTTTTGAGGCCCGTTGGCATGAGAGATGATTCTCCATGCCTTCACTTTCAGTCTGGATATATCTTTTGGTTCCAAATGTGTCTCTTTTAGACAGCATATGGACGGGTCCTTTCATTTTATCCAGTCTGCAACCCTGTACCATTTTATGGGAGCATTTAGGCCATTCACGTTGAAAGATAAGTTTTTATTGACAGCATGTTGCCTGTGAAGTCCTTATTTCTATAGATTTTCTCTGTGATTTTCTGTTCTATGTCACTCTTGGGTTCTTTCTTATTTTATAGAAGCCCCCCTTAATATTTCTTGTAGTGCTGGCTTGGGGGTCACATACTCTTTTACACTTTGCTGGTCGTGGAAGCTTTTTATCTCTCCATCCATTTTGAGTGTCAACCTTGCTGGATAAAGTGTTCTTGGCTGCATGTTCTTCTCATTTAGTGCCCTGAATATGTCTTGCCAGCCCTTTCTGGCTTGTCAGGTTTCTGTGGACAGGTCTGATGGTATTCTGATGGACCTTCCTCTGTACATAAGGAATCTCTTCCCCCTAGCTGCATTTAGAACCTCTTGTCTAAAATTATGATTCTTGAATTTTGCAATCAAGTGTCTGGAGATCTTTCTAGATTCATTGATCTTGGTGGATGTCATTTCTGCCTCCAGGACACAAATGCTTGTTCCATTTCCCAGACTGGGGAAATTTTCATCCAGAATTTTTTCAACTATATCTTCTAGTCTTCTCTCTTTCTCCACCCCCTCAGGGATCCCAATAATTCTGGTGTTGAAATGTTTCATGGTGTCATTTATTTCCCTAATTCTGTTTTCATGGCTTCTGTTTGTTCCAGGCCTCCTCCTGATCCTTTTCCTCTATCAGTTTGTCCTCTAGATCACTAATTCTGTCTTCTGCCTCGGTTACCCTAGCTGTTAGAGTATTTAGATTAGTTTGGATTTCATATTGGTTTTCTCCAACCTAGGCATTGCCTGGATAGTTGTTGCCCTGAACTCCCTTTCTGACATATTATTTATGTCCGTATCCAACAGTTCTGTGGAAGAGGGCACAGTCTCTGGATTTTTCCTCTGTTGGGTGTTCCTCCTCCTCGTCATTTTGGTGAGAGGTGGTTGAGGGGATGTATAGCTGAATATATCAACCACGATCTAAGCAAGGTGCACCCTCTCCACTGATGTGTTCTGTCCCCGTTGAGATCCAGAAGTGTATAATCTTACATCTCAGGCTGATTTCATGGGTGTTCAGAGTGTTCTGGTAGATATTTAGCACACTTTAGGGGACGAGTTGAAACAGGGTCTCCTACTTCCCTACCTTCTTGTCCCTCCTCCGCCTAAGAGGCCACTCTTAAAGTAGCTTTACCGTCTAGTGTATTTTGGTATTTTATTTCAGTTGTTCAATATTAACAAAAAAATCTTTTACATGGATCAGTAGTGAGAGTCATAGAGTTTTACATGCATGGTAAAACACCACCCTGAGTTTAAAACAATACCCATTACTAGGACTACAACCTAGTAATTGATAATATATTCACATGTCAAAAGAATGAATATATGCACACATAAAGGGAGAGAGAATTCTCATGAGCAAGTGAGTCTAACCAGGTACTGGCTTAGGTCAGGTTTTTTAATTTCTTTAATCTTTAGTTTCCCCCTCTTTAATATTAGGATTACCATCCTTATATCATCCAATTGTAAGAATTGAAACTGAATTATGTCTGAATAATGCTGAGGATGGCATGTGGCACATAGTGGACTCTTGATAAATGTTACTTCTTTTTTTTTTCTCAACCCTATTCAATCTTTTCCTGTATCAGGAGTGAAAGAGGGATCAGATTTTCAATTTGCTCAAATGTTTCTCTGTATTTTAGATGCTACCATATTCTAATAGCTTTAGCCTGTCAGATTTTATCTGTTATGTTTGTAGTTAAGGTAGCAAATTGATTTTTTTTAAAGACATTGATTTATTTGAGAGAGAGGGAAAGAGTGTGTGTGTGAGACTGGGGGAGGGGATGAGGGAGAGCGATTCTCAAGCAGACTGCCCACTGAATGTGGAGCGGGTCGTGGGGCTCAATCTCAGGACCCATGAGATCATGACCTGAGGTGAGATTAAGAGTCAGATGCTTAACCAACAAATTGATTTTTGAAAGTACTCTGGGTGTACTCTGTAAAATAACTGTTTTTAAGCAAAAATCGTTAATTTGGGATCCATGGGTGGTGTTCAGAAGGTCCATGTATCCTTTTCCCCCTGCATTGTATGATAAACTCTAATATATATGGGGGCTTGGTTTGGTTGAGGTACCATAAATACCTTCACATTCTCAAAGGTGTTCATGCTCCAACCCCCACTCCTCCCCACCCCTCACCAAAAGATAAGAATTACTGTGTTAGAAGGAATCTGTTTACTAAGTGTCTAGTGATAGTACATAGGATAGTACAGGAGCTAAACAAGATGTTTTGTATAGATTATTTTATTCCTCATAATATCCCTGCCAAGTAGGTATTATAAACAATTTCTAATTATTTGTTTAACTTCAAGTTTATATTTAGGTTTAGGATGAGGATTCAGTGAGGGGAGGTTGTATGAAAGATGGAAATGCAAGGTTCCTGCTATAAAGGAGGTAGGCAATCCGTGATAGAAGCCCAGTGGAGAGATTAGCCTTGAGCAGGAGAAGGCATAATTCTTTTGAAACTTGGGGAAAGGAGGTGAAAATTGATTCATGTGATTTGTTGTGAAGAAGAGAAATAGAAGAGAAACAGACCTGATTAGTCTGAACTTTAAGAAACGGCATTGAGGGTTCAAGGAATTGAGAATAGAGAAAGTTTGGAATAAACACTGTGAAGAACAAAAGGTTTGGGGATAGCAGAAAGGATTGCCAGGAAGTACTGAAGTTAATCATCAGGAGGCAGAGGATGTTTTAGAACAGTAAGACATTACATTGTTCTTATCCATATTCTCTTAATGAAAAAGATGATTTGAATCCAATTATAATTTTTGGTTGTGGACTAATATGGTGGTGGAATGTTAATTTTTTTTTCAACATACCTTCTTGAACATGCTTTTTAATTTTGATTTTAAGTTCTTTTACTGTATGAATTGAAGGTCCTGAAGGTGTTGAATTAAAGATTCCTCTGCTTAAAAAAATTGTGTATGTCAGCAAACAGGTGTGGAAGATTTTAGAGCTGAAGTGATGCATAAAGGCATGTCCTTTTAGGGTGACTGGGGAGGACGGTCAGAAGGGCCAAGCTATGGAATGGCTATCCCTAGAAATTTCTGTATGAAGTTATCCTCACTACCTAGGGTCTTTGGCTTGCCACAGATCTGCTTTGAGATCCTTATCCCTCAATACCTCCTGTCCTAGTGTAGTCTTTGACCCATTCTCACTGATAATCCTTACATTTAATACTTCCTTACTTTCCTTCTGCACAAATGCTATTAAGTCTGCCCATCAGCACCTGAATTTTTGTCATCATTCTGTCACTCATTAGTTCTAGCTTTGTGGTTAAGGAGGCATAATAAAATGAAAAGAATATGACCAGAACTTCTAGTTTTGTTGAATCACCATATTGTACAACTGAAACTAATATAACTTTCTATGTTAACTATAATGGAATTAAAAAAAAAAGTATATGGGGAAAAAGAAACTTTTGATTTTTTAATTTTAACTGTTACTTAAATATGACCTTGAGCCAGTCATTTCATTTCTGAGTCTTTATTTATATGGTTATGATAATGGCTATGATCTCTTGTGTTTTCAAAATGTGCCAGGAACAATGTTAGATGTTTTATGTTGTTATCTCACTGATAATCTTAGTAACCCTATAAAGAAGGTGGTATTTTCCTAATCTTAAAAACAAGGACGGGACGCCTGGGTGGCTCAGTTGGTTAAGCGGCTGCCTTCGGCTCAGGTCATGATCCCAGCTTCCTGGGATCGAGTCCCACATCGGGCTCCTTGCTCGGCAGGGAACCTGCTTCTCCCTCTGCCTCTGCCTGCCTCTCGGCCTACTTGTGATCTCTCTCTCTCTTTCTCTGACAAATAAATAAATAAAATCTTTAAAAAAAAAAAAAAAAAAAAAAACAAGGAAACTGAGGTTCAGAGAAGTAATTTCCATAAAGTGCAGTATAGTAAGGTACAGGCTGGATTTGAGTGTCCAAGCCTGTAAGGTTCTAAGCCCATGCACATTCTTTTATTTCTTAATTCTTTACCTTTGTATAGTGCTTTACATTTTATAGAACATTCCCACTGGTATAAGTACACTTAATACTTTTATACTGGGCTAGATGGCATCATCTCTTCCTTAGTAAAGTTGTGCTATTTTGGTTGCATGATTATATTATTTTCAATGTACTGTAGCATATTATTCCTTATCAACTTAGTCATTTTATTTTGTGTTGATTTTGCCTATAAGTTTCTCCTCAAAAATGGAAATAAAAAACTCATCTTTTCACTTTTAGGAAATGCTGAATGTTCACGATCATTATCAGAACATGAAACATATAATTTCAGGCGATAAATCCAATCCAGACAAAGCCCTCAGCTTGATAAAGGATGATTTTTTTGACAATATTAAGAACATAGTTTTGGAGCATCAGCAGTGGCACAAAGACAGAAAGGTATGTGACTGCTTGTTGGAAACCTCACCATTGTATTTGCATTACACACTAATAGCCGGACTTAAGTGATAAAATTGAGAGGCAGCTTAGTTGAGTGGCTGTATGTTTCTAGAGTTACGATTTCGAGGGCTTTATTTTTCTAGCTCTGGCTTTACCAGTTATCAGCTATGTGATGTTATTTAACCTTACAAACAGATTTTGTTATGTAATTATATAATTAAACAATTATTAGTAGCAATTCTATAATATGTGTTAAATAATATACATTATATATAATATCAGTGTAACTATAATCTTGGTATACCACAGATTTATTATAATCTTTGTAATTTAGCATTTTCCAGAGGTTGCACACTGGCTGTCTTTGGGTCAGATCCTACACACAGGTGTGGTTTCTTTGATACGGTGTTGATCCTAACACTGCTTTAAAATGTTGAATTAATCACTAGAATTTAAATTTTTGTGACTTCACTTAAAATTGCAGACATCCAACTTCTCTTAAAAGTAAGTAGTTTGGGGGAATGCCTGGGTGGCTCAGTCGGTTAAACATCCAACTCTTGATTTTTGGCTTAGGTCGTGATCTCAGGGTTGTGAGATCGAATCCCGTGTTGGGCTATGGGTTCAGCACAGAGTCTGCTTGAGATTCTTCCCCTCTTCCTTTGCCCTTCCTCCCATGCCCATGCCCTTTCTCTCTCTAAAATAAATAAATAAGGCTAAAAAATATTATTAAAAATTCAGTGGTTCGGAAACCCTGGTTCCATTTTTCTGCATGGCAGCAGACTGCCAGGTTGTGGCAGTTGTGGCTTCTTCCATTGTGATTGGGCATGCTCTACCTGACTGGGTTTATCCATTTACAGATCTCATCAACACAAATCTTCCGTTTAGTTTTCTGATCCAAATACTGATGCTAGGCTGCCCATTTTCCACAGTAACCTTTTCACATAGAGAAACTTTTTTACTCTGGAAATCAGCTTTGCTCAGTTTAACTTTTAAACCACTCTTCCATCTTATTTTACTAAATCCTTTTAGGAAAAAATAAAAGAACATAAACAATTTCTGATGACTTACTCTGTATCTGATAATGTATTAGTGTTTTCACAAATGCTACATAGGTGGTATTATTTTATATATTGTCTTTTAGAAAGATTTGCTCCCACTTTTTGGTTTTTCATTGTATAAAGGGACCTGGTTCAAGAAAAAAAAGGGCTGGCTCAAAACTTAATTTTAGAAAAGATAAAGAAAGTGATGAGCTGACAGTCTTGGAAAAGAGGAAACAATTTGCTTCTTGTACACCCATTTATTTTAATGAGAGACAGCACATTTTAGACTGAATACTTTGTTACAAATGGGTTACACAAATGACCTGAGCAATTCATGTAAAAATCTATTAGGTACTCTGTTATAGTACTTTGATAGTACCTTTTTTTTTTTAATAGTATGTCTTTTAGTAAGCTCTCTAATTAGCATTACTAAGACCTCTACAAACCTGAAAGAAAGGAGGATAAACCAATTTTCTTACTGCTGTATGAAGTGTGTGTTTTCCTTCATTAGTTAGGAGGATTCAGACATTAAATTGATAAATTTTAAAACTGTTCTGAAACCTAACCTTGATATTAATGTCAGGTAGTGAACCATGCTGTAATAATGTGAAGTGATCGTTTAGTTTTGTAGTAATTAAATGATTCTCACTGCTCTGAAATGATTTGCAATTGATTTTTAGTTAATTTGAATTATAAGTGTGTATATATAACATTTTCGCTCTTTCAGAATCCACCCTTAAAATCAAAAGTTAAAGATGGAGAAGAAAAGAGAGAAGGAAATTCACAAGAATCAGAGGTCAGAAAAATTCACTATATGATTATTTACGGGGCAATAGTTAAGTTAGCTTCTTTTTGTTTGATATGTGGCTCTGATTCTGTATACAAGTATCATGACCCTTGGTCACTATTAACACAATTATCTCAGACAATTCTGAAACATCAGTTCTCTGAAGAGTTAGTTTGTTCTTTTCTGGAAACTGTATGAAAGACACAAGTGTAGATTGGAAGCGAGGATGGTAAGTGTTTCTGCAGGGAAAGAGGAGGATAACGGTGGAGGGTGCTCTCTGCCCTTACACAGACAGAGCAGGGTTTTTGCATTATGTCTTTTCTTACTTCTGTCTGACTTTCAACCAGTGTGGAAGGCTTGCTATTATTTATTTATTGCTTCTGCCTCCACAGAGTTTTTATCTATCTTAGTTGATGAGACAAGGAACCATTTTTGGGCATAGGCAGATGGGGGGGTGGTGATGGCCTTAATCACCAACGCTTTCATTCATATAAACCTCTTTAAATCCTAAATAATAACAATCAGTAGCCATAGGGATGGTATTGTGGACCTGCTATGAGAACGTGGTGTGTTTTTATATGTCTTTGGTCAATATGAGTCCAATGAATATTTACTTCTTTGACCCTACGTTCTGTCTCAGATCTTATTTCTGATAACAAATAGTTGGGAATCCATAATTTCTGTTAATATTTATGTTTCTTTTTCTCCTTCCTGTTTGTTTTATCCAGAGATGTGAAAGGGCAGAATCTTTAGCGAGAATAAAATCAAAGGCCTTTTCAGTTGTCGTTCAGGTAAGTTACTTCTTTCATAAGATAATTTAGGAATTGACCGGATGCTTTTTTTTTTTTTTTTTAAAGATTTTATTTATTTATTTGACAGAGAGAGATCACAAGCAGACAGGCAGGCAGAGAGAGAGAGGGAAGCAGGCTCCCTGCTGGGCAGGACCCTGAGATCATGACCTGAGCCGAAGGCAGCGGCTTAACCCACTGAGCCACCCAGGCACCCAACCGGATGCTTTTTTAACAGTATTTTTATTTTTCATTAGAGTAATACATGAATAGTTTAAAAAGTCTAATAATCCTATAGAGCTTATATAACCCAGCAGTTTCGTGGTCTACCACTTCCACCCCTGTATTCCTAATCCATCTTCAGCTTTTTCTCTTTTAGTTATCTCTTCTGGTATTTACCTGGAATTTTGATGCCTTTGCTTTTTATTGTCTTCCAGCTTTTAGTATTCCTGATCATGGAAGGTTTTAGGATTTTCTCTCTATCCCTTGAGTTTTGAAATTTATGATAATGTAAGTTGGTGTGGGTCTTTTTTCCATCATTGTCTTTGGCTGTCCTGGCAGGCATTCTTTTGATCGGATAACTTTCATTTCTGAGGAGTTCTTTTTTTTTTGTTTTTTGTTTGTTTGTTTGTTTCTTTGATAGCATTTGCTACATTTTTGCTCCTTCTCTTGAATTTTTATTTTATTTTTCTTTTCTGTTTTCAATCTCTATTTTCAGGGAGATTGCTTAAACTTTGTCTTCTGAATCATTATATTGAATTTTTTATTTTTGCTGACTTTTTTTTTTTTTTTTTTTTTGCTAAGGGTCTTGTATTTTCTTCCCTGAATCTTTTCTTAAAAAAATGTATTTTTTTTCTGATGCAATATCTTTATCTTTTATGTTCTTGAGGATGTTAATAACAGTGTTTTGAAGTTTATGTCTTTTCCCCCAGAGTTGCTGTTTTGTTTATTTTGATCTCTTTCATTTTGGTGGCTTTTTTCAAATGTTTAAAGAGCCTCAGATCATATTTAAGAGTGGTCATGTGGAGATATGACTTTTTAACCTCAGTATTTCTTTTTGTTGGATCTCATCATTTTTACCAGAGAGCAATCTCCATTCCCTTGTCTGGGGAAAAGAAGGGTAAATAAGCTCAACCACCAGTGTTTGGGGAGCCTACAGAGAGAATAATCAAGAGGCTTACCATTCCTTATGCAAGTTTCACTAACTTCTCTATTTTCAGTAAGAGGCTTTGTCCTCTTCCTCAGCTATACCATTCCTCAGGCCTATAGCTTCTCTGGGTTAGCCTCTCCAGAGAGCAAGCCTCCTGTTTTCTGTGGGAGGTCAGCTGTGTAGTTTTGAGGTTGGGAAACGGGACACTAATGCTTTTTTTTAGACCCATTTCTTTTCTTTTTTTTTTTTTTTTTTTAAGATTTTATTTATTTATTTGACAGAGAGAGATCACAAGTAGACAGGCAGGCAGAGAGAGAGGGGGGAGCAGGCTCCCTGCTGAGCAGAGAGCCTGATGTGGGACTCGATCCCAGGACCCTGAGACCATGACCTGAGCCGAAGGCAGCAGCTTAACCCACTGAGCCACCCAGGCGCCCTAGACCCATTTCTAATTTCTAAACTATTGCCCCGTAAATTTTTTAGACCCATTTAGACCCATTTCTTTTTTAGACCCATTTTTAGACCCATTTCTAATGATTCTAATTCCTGATCCACTTGGATCAGTTTAGTTTATAGTAACTTTCTCAATATAGGCAATTAGATTTCAGACTTCGTTCTGTTAAGTCAGCTGTCACTCACTGTTTCTACTACCAAATTTTTTTTTTTAGCAGCTCCATTGTTTTCTACTATTTCTGTTTTGGGAGTTTATTCAGAAATTTTCTCACTTTCATTTTAGTGGGATTTGAGGGGAGAACACAGATAAGTTTATGTGCTTAATCCCATGTTTTTTCCTGGATTGTTTTCATGAATATAGGAGTTCTTTTTTCTGTGGGAAATTACTATCATTTTCTAGTTGTAGAAATGAAAAGGAATAAATAAAAAATTAAAAGTGATTGTAGATTAGTTAAGTGTTACATATTTGTTATCCCAAACAGTGAATTGAGCACAAAATACTGTTGAATGAAAGCACCAAGAACAATAAGTTAACTAATCCAAATTGTTTTAAACCAGAACTGCCCACATTATATAGTGCTAATTGATGTTTAGTGTGTATCTTAAAACATGATGAGAATTAAATTGTAATTCCCATAAAGTGTTACAAGAGTGTGTCATAGCATAGCTGCAGGTTTTTTCTTTATTGCGGTACAATTAAAATATAATGAATGGCAATTTTTTAATAGTTGTTAATACCTGGATTTCAGCATTAGCTGAAAACTCCTATAAGGAAACTGCTTAAGCAAGTAAGGGAATTCATTGATTGAAAATAACTAAAATGTCCTTGGAGTGTCCCTTTGTTTTTCACCTTTTATGTTGCTTTCACTGTCTTCAAATGTTCCTGACAGCCAACTATGCATGTTTCCAGCTGTGGATTCAATGGAAAGGGAGAATTTTCCTTCCTAATAGTTACACAGAATTCTAAAATTGAGCTATGGTGGAGATCACATGCCCACCCCTGAACAGGTGATATGAAATTTTTGACTAGATGAGCGGCACGTACCTGGAGCCAGGTGTCAAGTGGTTCCACTCAAAACACATGGTGATAACTAGGGAACATAAATGTTCTTAGAAGAAAGGCGAGACTAGGTTAGTAGACAGTAAAAAACAGTACTCATCCTTTATACCTGTTTCCCAGCCATGCAACAACAACTACATTTTAACCCAACAACTACATTTTTTACCCAATTTGAGTAGATGGTGATGACAGTTGCAAGAAGCCTTCCTGTTATAAAGATAAAAGAGTATATATATTTCCTTTTATAAAGATTAAAGAGTGTATATATATATACAACAAGTATTAAGCAAGCCACTATAATGGTGCTTTTTATGAGTTATTTTTCGCCATCTTTGTGTATTTTGTCTTTTCCTAAATTGTCTATTAGTTGGATTCATTTTGTGATTTATTGTGGTTAATTGGATTTCTAACTCTTAAGGCATCCAAGTCAAGAAGGCATCGTCAAGTCAAACTTGACTCTTCTGACTCTGATTCTGCATCTGGTCAAGGACAAATCAAAGCAACTAGGAAAAAAAGAAACAAAGAAACATTGAAATCAGCAGGAAGGAAGATGTCTTCTAGAAACAAAGGTAACTTTTTAAAGTCTTTTTGAGACTCAGCAAGGGATAATGAATCTTGTTTTACAACTTCCCTTCCCTGTTCTTTCTTTATTAAAAGGGATTAGATACTTGTTTGAGAACTTTGTGAGATTTAATATAAACATGAATTAATTATCTTAGATCCTTAGAATCTTACCGCTTAAAGGGATCCTAAGAGTTATCAAATTCATCATTCCATAGATGATGAAATTTAGGTCCATACAGGTTAAATAATTTGTCCAAAAGTGAAATAGCTATTTATAAAATCAGTCTAAAATTGTCCAGACCGTATTTTATGAGTACTTTTTGTGTGTGAATTAAACTTAAGTGTAGACTTAGGTGTAATACATTCTATAAACTATATTTCCCTTTAGCTGCATTAATTAAGCTGTACCTTTTCTTTTAAAATAGTGTGTCTATCAAATTAACCTTAGTATTTGATTCTTAAATGACTATATGTTTTAATAGTTTAATTTTTTAAAAATTGCATGAGTAATATATATTCACCATGCATAAAGTTGGAATCTGATTAGCAGGCTCAGGAGGAGAAAAAAAAGGCATTAGAAACATTAGTAAATATTCAGTGCCTAATATAAAATACATTCCCAGCTACTAGTGCAGTATATAAAGATGGGTTATGGCCTTTTAACATAAATGTTTTCCTTCCTATATCCTTTCCCTTCCAGGTAGTGGAAGGAGAATTAAAGTTAAATACCTTTAACATAGTCCAGATATGATTAACTTTGGTAACAGTTGCTTGAAGTATACTGAAAATTCAGAGGAGGAGATACCATATTTGTTAAGGATAATCAGGAAATACTTCAAAAGCAGAATTTCTTGGTTCTTTTTACAAGGCTGGCAGATATTGGGAAGAAACCTGTTAGATCAATCTCACTCTGAAAAAAAATCCTATTATAAGTATTGAAAGAATCCCAGCTATAAAACAACTTAACTGAGTGCATTTTGTTCCAGAATGCAGGGACGGTGCAATTAGGAATATATCAATATAATTTGCCATACAAATAGATTAAAGGGGAAAATGGGAATTCATTTTATACCTACCCAAGAAGACATTTGATAAAATCTAACATCATTCTTGATTAAAAAAAAGAGTCCTTTAGATTAGGGGGTCAGCAAACCTGTGATAAAGAACCAGGGGGTAAATATTTTAGGCTTCTTAGGTCATAAGATTTCTTTCACAACTACTCTGTGAGGCACTGTGAGGCAAAGTAACCACAGACAATATATAAGCAAATGAATATGTTCCAATAAAATTGTATTTGCAAAAACAGGTGGTAGGCCAGGTTTAGCCTGGGGCCACAGTTTGTCAGCCTCTGCTCCAGATAAAAAAAAGGAGTATGTTATCTCTTAACTCAGTTTTAAAAAGTATGTATGTGAGTGCCTGTTATTTGACAAAAGGCCACCTCATGTTTGTTGCTAGTACGTAGAAGTATCCCAATTGTATTTAATACCGCCTGTCAATGTCATTAGGCAGGAGAGTGAAGTAAGACATGCTTTCAGAAAAATTAGAAAATTACCATGATTGGGGCGCCTGGGTGGCTCAGTGGGTTAAGCCTCTGCCTTCAGCTCAGGTCATAATCTCAGGCTCCTGGGATCAAGCCCCGCATCGGGCTTTCTGCTCGGCAGGGGGCCTGCTTCCTTCCTGCCTCTCTGCCTACTTGTGATCTCTCTCTCTCTCTGTCAAATAAATAAATAGATAAATTTTTAAAAAGAAAATTACCTTGATTTACAAATGACTGATTTTATGCGTAAAAATATCTTAAAGAAAATTCCCTGGAAAAAACATAGGCGCACAAAATTTAGTAAGGTAAAGGACACCACTGCAAACCATACAGAAATTAAGAGGCTAATAAGGAAAAATTATAAATACTCTTATGCCAATAAGTTAGGTTAGGTAAAACGGATATATCTTTTTAAAGACACACATTTCCAAAACCAACACAAAAAGAAATATAGCATTTGAGTAGTTCTGCATTTACTAAAAAAAATACATTCCAGCAAATGGCTTTGCTGGAAAGTCTAAGAAACATTTAAGGAAGGAATATTATGCTGTTCTTTCAGAAGACACAAGAAGGATCACTTCCCAGCTTATTGACCTTTTAAGAAAAGACAAAGACTTTCCCTCATGAACATGAATATAAAAATTTTTACAAACTATTGGCAAGTTGAATCCAATGGTATATTAAAAGGACAATGTAGTAGGACAAACTTGGGTTTATCCCAAGAATATAAGGCTGGTTTATTTAGGAAATAAAGGAGAACCAGAATAAAGAAGAAGGACTATATAATCATCTCAGTATATGTCGACAAAATATTTGACAAAATCCAGCATCTATTCATGATAAAATCTGAGAAAATTAGGATTAGAAAGGAACTTTCTCAACCCGATAAAGGATTTGTGTGGAAAAAAATACAGCTAACACCATACTTAATGGTGAAACCATACTTTCCCTCTGAAATACAAGGCAGGGATGACTATGCATTATTCCTCTTATACATCATACTGGAGGTCCTAGCCAGTGAAGTAAGGCAAGAAAAAGAAATAATAGACATTTAGATTAGAAAGGAGGAAATAAGATTGTGTCTGTTTACAAATGAAATTACTTTTTACACAGAAAATTTCAAAAATTCTACTCAGTAGTTACCAGAATGAATAAGTAAGTTTAACGAGGTCACAAGGTACAGGGTTAGTATTTCTGTATACTAACAATGGAATAATTAGTAATTGAAAAAAATTTTAAAGTATAACAACACAAAATCCACAAAATAGCTTAGAATATAGATAACAACATGTGTACAGGATCTGTATGCTGAAAACTACAAAACGATGAAAGGAATCAAAGATGATTTAGGTGAACGGCGAGATAATATGGACCTCATGGATTAGAAAACCAATACGGTTAAGAAACACCTAATCCTGTATTGTTCTGTAGATTAAATGTAATCCCAACAGTTATATAAATAACAAGCTGTTTCTTAAGTGTATATGGAAACGGGAAGAAACTAGAGTAGCCAAAACGGTTTTGAGAAATAACTATAAAATTTCAAAAATCAAGAAATGTACTATCTGCAAAAAAGTAGACATACAAGTCAATGGAAAAGAATAGGGAATCTAGAAATAGACTTGTACTTACATGGTCAGTTTTATTTTTGACAAAGGTACAAGGAGAATTCCAGGTAAAAAGATAGTCTTCAGTAAATGGTGCTGATACAATTTTATATCCATATGCAAAAAACAGATCTTCAACGTAAACCTCTTTGCCATATGCAGAAATTAACTTAAAATGGTTACAGACTTAAATATAAAAACTAAAATCATAAAACTTAAAAGATGAAAACAAGGGGTGCCTGGGTGGCTCAGTGGGTTAAAGCCTCTGCCTTCGGCTCAGGTCATGATCCCAGGGTCCTGGGATCAAGCCCCGCATCGGGGTCTCTGCTCAGCAGGGAGCCTGCTTCCCTGCCTCTCTGCCTACTTGTGATCTCTGTCTGCCAAATAAATAAGTAAAATCTTTAAAAAAAAGAAAAAAGATGAAAACAAAAAATGTGGTCTTGGATTGGGCAAAGATTTTTTATACGTGACAGAAGAAATACAAGCCATAAAAGAAAAAAATTTAATTAGACTTGCATCAAATTAAAATTCTTTGGAAGACACTTATAAGAAAACGAAAAGACAGGCCACAGAGTGGGAGAAAATATTTGCAAGATACAAACCTGATAGAGGTCTTGTGTCCAAATATATAAAGAACTGTCAACACTTAGTAATAAATAAACCGCCCAGTGAAAAAGATGGGCAAAAAATCTGAACAGATACTTCAAAAAGAATATGTGCATGGTAAATAAGCATCTTGAAAGATGTTTGACATCTTTAATTAGTGGGAAATGCAAATTAACAGCATAGTAACATTCTAATACTGCCTGTCACAATGGCTACAAAAACTGAAAAACAAAACAAGGAGATTGACAATAATAAAAGCTGATGAGGACATAGAACATTTGAACCTTCATACATTGCTAGTGGGAATCCAAAATGGTACAGTCACTTTGGAAAACTGGCTATTTCCGATAAAGCTAAACACACACTTACCTTATGACCCAGCAGTCCTACTCCTTGGTGTTTACCCAAGAGAAGTGAAAACTTACATAATTTCACACAAAAGGTTGTATGCAAAAGTTTACACTGGTTCTGTACATAATTGTGAAAAATTATAGCCAGCCTAAATGTCTTCAACTTGGGTAAACAAACCACGGAATAAGTGTACAGTGAGTTACTACTCAGGAATAAAGCAGCTGCTGATACATATAGTAGCATGGAGGGAGGACTCATGTGCCTTGTGCTAAGTAAGAGAAAGAAAACAGACATAAAAGGCATAAAGATAATCTGGAAGAGTCAGAATTTATAGGGGCAGAAAACCTCATAGGTGGCTAGGTGCTGAGGGTGGAGGGCGGTGTTGACTGTAGAAGGGCAGGGAAATTTCTGATAATGAAAATAAAGGAATTGTTCTGTATTTTGGTTGCAGTGGTAATTGCACAACTGCATTTGTCCAAACTCCAAAACCTGTATATTGAAAATGGGGACTTTAATTATCTGTAAATCAACAACTCAAACAAACCCAAACCCAGAGGACATGAGGAAAAGACTGATTAGTTTGATTGTATTTAAAAATAACTTCTGCAAGAGTAAGTGTTTTTTCTAAGGTGTATCAAAGATAACTTTGGGTTTTGAAAGCTGCACAAGCAGTTTTTATTAGCAATCAACCTTCATACAAGTGCAGAGAGGTCGGCTGGCCAAGTTGCTTTCTTAAACACCTAAACAGGTTTTTGTTTTGTTTTGTTTTTATGTGGCTGAGTAACAAAAGAGGAGTAAGTGCAAGATAGGAAAGAAATTAAATGAAAGTTTCTTTTCATCTTAAATATTTGGCAGGTGTAATATATCACTTCCTTTGCTATAGTATATTTTATTACTTAATGAA